CTCACGTGCAAAGGCCAGGGCCAGCTCTCACGGGCCGTGTGACCTGATGGAAGCTCCTTCCCTTTTCTGAGCTCACTGCCACAGAATTACTGTGACATCATATGGGGGGCTCCTTTGACTAGATGTCTCTAGTTGACAGATTCAGACCTCTTGTTGGTAGACCAAGGTGTGGGGGTGTCACATGTGTGTTCCTTGTGCAGGAAGGACTGAGGAAGCCAGTACCCCAGAGCCTCTGCCCCACTGGCCTCCAAGAGCTGGTTCCTTGCGTTGGAGCCAGCCTGGGGCTTCCTTAGGAGCTGGTGCCCTGCACACAGCACAACTTGTGGGCTTTGGTCCCCAAGACCTGCACTCCCATCCCAGTAAAATGCTGCAACAGCTGCAGGTCCTGGGGCATGTCACCTAACCTCTCAGCTACTTCCTCATCCAAAACCGGAGGAAAGAGACACCTGCCTCATGGGGTGAGATGTGAAGTAGGAGAGCCCAGCAGGAGAGCCATCGAACCAGTGCCCTCCTTCCTTCCCTGCTCTCCCGCCAAAGTCACTCTTGGAGTATCCTGGACTAGAGAAACCAGGTCTTCTCTACAACTCCCCTGCTCCCCCCACGTGCCCCAGGGGGACTTCCCTACTGGGTCCGGCATCCCTGGGACTCAGAAAATCCGGAGCTGGCACAGGGCAGGGCAGGGTGTGGATGGCCCCACAAACAACCCCATGCTTCTAGTTCTGTGGTAGATGCGCACAGGGCCCTCCTGGAAGCCACACCTGGCACAAGTGCACTGGGCAACCCCTCCTTGAAGAGCCTTCCAGAACCACTGGCCAATTGTCCCAGGAAGGGCTGGGACCTCTGTGATGTAAGCGGTGCCCCAGGAGCCGCAGCCAGAGTCCTGAGCCTTCTGGCCCCACCCTCATTCCCAGGAGACCTGCAGAAGCTGCCAGGGGATGGGGCCCGAGGCCAGCTCTGCTCCCGACCTTCCTGCCGTACTCGAGGCAGCTCTGCTCCGCACTGTAGACAGCAGGGCGCCTCGTTCCTGGGCCGGGAGGAGACTCCCTCCCACTCCCCCAGGCCAGCAGGAGACAGCACATTGGGGGCTTGGTGAGCTGTGGCGAAAGGGAGGGACAGGCCATTAGAAACGGCTTCAACCTCAGGGCCTTCATCAGCATCGCCCTCAGCGAAGAGACTCAGAAGTCACCAGGGCTGCCAGACACCCACAAGGTCGCCACGGACCTGTGCCACGGGGTCTTTATTCCATCCATACAAGCAGAGGCCACTGCCTAGCAAGACAGCAGACCGTCGAGGGCCCCACACATCAGGGAGGCGCCTAAGCCAAACTCCCTACTTAAAGCAAACAGCTCCGCGTATAAATCCTCACCGGGGTGGGGGCGCTGGGTGTCAGGTTCCTGAGAGTAGATCAGGGTGGGAAAAGAAAAGAGGGAGAGGGCGCGAGGTGCATGGGTGCTGGGGGCTGGCTCAGGCCAGTCGGGGGGAGTGTCCTGTAAGGCCGCAGCCAACCGCGGGGGAGGCCAGGTGACCAACCGCCCCTCCTGTGCCCTGACACCCAGTGTGCCGATCTTGCCCGGGGCATGGAAGGAGGCCACACCTCAGAAACCCGGAGGCCCAGTCGGAGCTGGCTGGAGGCAGTGCGGGGAGGGGACCCCACCCAGGGTCACTCAGCAGGGCCAGAGCCCCAGCACCTCGCCCCTCTGAAACCCCCGTAGATCCGCCTTAGATGGCCCGTTGTCCCCAAGCGCAGTCCCTCCTCTCACCTTCGCTAGGGTGTCCACCACGCCCACGAGCGGCTGCTTTGCGGGATATTTGGCCATGTCCCATTCAAAGTGGGTCACAAAGGACGTCAAATCGACTGGAAGGACACAAACACATTTCAACAAGTGAGCCAGCATGACACATCCACGATCGAGACTGCTAAACCCCAAGCCAAGCGTCACTGCCGACACCAAGGAAGCAGTTAGTGACAACACCGGTGGGCAGGCTCGGGGCTCAAAGCAAACACCCCCCGTGGGGGCAGAGCCCTGAGCCAATTGGGGCCATCGGTAGAGCACTGGCAGCCCCCTCCTCCCTCTGGAGAACACGCCCGCAGCTGAAGGGCGCTGTGACAGATGCACTTCTGTGCCCCACGCTGTCCTGCAGACGGCCGCCACCCCAGGACGCGCCGTCGGGAGAGCCTGTTTTCTGGAGGCGGAAGCAAAGCGGGATGACGTTCTGAGCCGGCACGGGGCTCGTTCCCCACCTTCCCCTTCGCTGGGTTATGTGTTTCCAGGTCCCCAAAGGCACAGCAGACAGCATCAAGCCAACCCCGAGAAACCACGCAGCGGGGGCCCGTCCTGGCTGCTACCTGATGCGGGGCAAGCACCTCCGGCCTCCTGTGCCCGAGCACCAGACGAGGCAATTTCAGCCACGCGGTCTATTTCAAAGAAGGCATTTTTTAAACGTGAGCGAACTACTGGAGTCTGTGCCTGGTTTTTACTACCTGGCAGGGATGTGCCTTGTTCAGTGTCTGCCCTTCATATAAAGCCCACAGCGAACGGAACACACCGGTGTTTGCACACATTGCAAACACATTTTTTGTCTTCCTTCTCCAAAAACTAACAGAATCCACTGCCTTCACGCTGTTTCTGGCGTACCCTAAGCGGCTGTGGGGTGGAGGAGAGAGCCCCAGCGCCGAGGCCCGACAGAAGCGACCCGAAGGCGCCTCAGCTGACTGAGAGCCCCCAGGCCTCGAGCGATTTAGGGACGAAATCCGCTTCCTTACCTGAGAAATGGGGGAGCCACACACCTCAAGTGCCTGTTCTCTTCAGATTAGTTCTGTACACACTTGAAGAGCACTAACTGTGCCAGCGCCCTGTGCGTGACCTCTTTTGCTACGCCAGGTCTGTGGTAAGCAGGAAACTTGGCAGAAGCATCCATGCTATGGTGGCCCCTGGAATCCCTCCACCCCCAGCGGGAGCACCTTCCTCTGGCGCATTCCTCAGCCCGGGCTCCGCGTGCCTCACCTCCCCGTCTACCCTCAGACTCACGAAAAGGACCATGAAGCTCACAACATTCAGCCACCCTGCTGCGGCCACAGACCAGACACCCTCCCCGGGACCAGCGTCAAGGTGCTCACAGTTCACCAGGGAGGCCCCGAGGTGGACACGCCACAGTGCGCTGGTGACAAGCACATAGGGCGCTAAGAGAGGATGAAGAGCTGGCACTAGCTCCTCCTGGGGAGGGCAGCTGGCTTCTTCAGATGCGACGTGCTCCAGAGCCTGACGGGGAAGGGAGGTGGCCGTGTGGCCAGTGAGGAGGGTGCTGGGTGTCAGGCGAGGACGACTGGCAGCTTCGTGTGTTCAGGGCACAGGGAGTTACGGGGTAGAGCAGAGGGAACGGGGAATGTGGATGGAGGCTGAGCGGGAAGGACAAAGGCAGTCACAAAGGGTCGCATCTGCCCTGCATGCCGTGCCAATCACACCAGGTCCCAAGTACTCGGCCCCAGTATGAGCTGGGCATTGAACACAGGTCGCTCCAACTTGGGAGGCAGTGCCAAGCGGGGTCACAAAACAAGCCCACGGGGAGCTGCATTGCTGGCACTTGGGGAGCGTCCTCCATGGCTGGTAGGGGGCTCTAGGAGAGACGCCAGCGGGAGCTGGGGAGATAGCACGTTCCGAGGGGCTGAAGGAGCCCTGGGAGGGCGAGGCCAGGGGCAGGCGCAAGGCAGGCCTGGCAACACCCGGATTTCAAGCTCAGTGGCTCGGTGGAGGGAGGGGTACGCTCTAAGCCACAGAGCCATGCAGGCGGCAGGGAGGGGACAAAGGGGAGAGGTGGCGAGCACAGCCTGGGACAAGCCTAAGTTTGATGTGTGGGTGGATAAGTCCCCAAAAAGCAGATGGGAACAAAATAAGACCCAGAGGAGGGAACTGGCTGGTGGCAGATCACCAGCATATAAGAGGTAGGAAATGAATTAAAATAGGATGACAATGACAACTCTTAAGTAGCTGACGTTTTACTGATGGCTTCCCTTGGGCCGGGAGGCACGAGTTATTTCATTTAATTTATTCTTTAACCCTATCAAGTACCATCATCACCCCCGTTTTACAGATGAGGAAACTCTGGCACACAGAGTTGTGTAACCGCCGCTATAAAATGAGAAGTCGCGCAGGAGGCTCCTGACTGCCCGCCTGGCACACAGAAGGGACCGCGCTTCCCTTCCCCGCCACGGCACTGTCAGAGCACAGCCACCCTGCACGTGCGAAAGGGAAGCCCGCTCCTCAGATACCTCCTAGACCACCGGGACGCGGGAGGAGAGCTCGTTTTACACACGCACAGCATCGGCGCGGGAAGTATCATGGTGAGGACAAGAGACTGTCCTTATAGGAAGGGCCAGTAGCAGAGAGCTTGACCCACGCTCTCCCCCTGCGCACGCGCGCACCAGGGAGAGGCCGCGCGAGGACACAGCGAGGAGACGGCCGTCCGCGAGCCAGGCAGCCGAGCCCTCATCAGAAACCGGACTGGCTGATCTTGGACTTGCGGAAAATAAACGTCTGTTGTTTAAGCCACCCAGTCTGTGGTACTCTGCGATGGGAGCCCACGCTGAGTCGGACAGATTTGGGTATTAGTTTGGGTATTCGCACAGATTTTGGCGTTGCCACACCATGGTGGGGACACGACCGTGTCGCAAGGGCGCAGGCCTGGGCAGGAAGTGAAGGGGTCCGGCCCACACCGGCAGGGAGTGGTCCGAGGCTGACCAGGAGGACGGGGAGGGCTCCTGGGGCAGGAATGGCAGCGGATCCCGCGTCTGTCCCAGGCCCCGCCGCGCAGGTGCCCGGCGAGCTCACCCCACGGACGCCCAGGCCCGAGAGCCGGCCGTGTGGGCGCTCGCCACAGCCGCCCCGCCCTCCCCGGCCTCCGGCACCCAAGGCGGCTCCACGCCCGCCTAGTGCCGCCCGGCTCCCACTCTCCCCTCACTGCTGCTTTTGTCCGTCAACACGCAGGACAGGACGAATGGACGGAAGCTTCTGGAAGCTGCCCTGACTGCCCCTCCCCCTGCTGGCCTGACGCTGTGTGGCCACCCCGGGCCTCTGGCTCTCTCAGGCTCCTGGAGGACAGAGATTATGACTCACTCGTCTCTGTGCCACCAGAGCCTGTCGCAGCGCCCCACACAGAGCACGTGCTCCACAAACACGCTCAGAACACCGGCAGAAACCTTCCTGCTGGCCACGCCTGTCCAGCTCGCACCCTCTGCTGCTCAGAAGAGACGTTTCAGATCACTCTGGTCTCTGCATTCTCACCGCAGCCAAGGACGTTATGGCACCGAAGGGCTGAGGTCCCCCTTTTCACTTGAAGCGCCCCCACCGTCCCTCTAGACTCAGCCACTTCCTGCGGCTCAGTCCCTCTTTCCACCACAGCACGCTTGGGGCTGTGAGTCTGTCCCCCAGCGAGGCTGTGCTTCTGGGCTGTGGCGGTCACCTCCACGTGCCCAGTGCGTGCTGAGGACACTCCCAGAGGGTGTCAGACAGGGGTCTCCCGGCGGGAGCCTCGAGAAACCTCTGGGTCTGTGACTGTGTCTTCCTCTCCCCTGTCTCCTCTCCCATGTCCCGAACATCAGCTCTAGCTCTGGACACCGACCCTGGCCCCAGACCAGGCACCCAAGGACCCTTCCCCGTCCTCACACAGTGTCTTTGGTAAGAACACGGTCTGAGGACAGCTCTCTGCCATTCCTCCGGCCTCCCTGCACTCGTGGTACTGCTCAGGAGGAACCCCTGCCGGGAACCTCTTCTGCCCAGGTCAAGTCGGTGAAGCCTGGTCCCGGGGTGGGCCATGTGGGGCCTGGGCTAAGGGCCTGTGAGGTCAGACTGTGACCCAGCCAGGCTCGCCCCATATCAAAACACGCTCAACACAGGCCGGCAACTCTTGAGCAATAACGATCTCACCTGAGAACCAAAACAGGTCCTGCCCAGCAGGCAGCAGAGCGAAGGACTGTGACCACACAGGCCCATTGCCTGGTTAACCAGACAGGCCCTTGGGTGTTTCTCTCTTCTGCGGCCATTCTAGGGCCCGGGCCAGACCACGAGCGGTTTGCTCAGCTTCTGCGGCAATCAAAGCTATCTATGTCCTTCCACGCTCCCGGCTCAGCTGCGGGCGAAGAGCAAACAAAAACAAAAGGCGCCGAGGCAAAGCTAAGAGCCTGCGCAGGGATTATCATCAAGTCCATTCACAGGTGAGAAAAGTAAGACCCAAAGAGGCGACTTTTGGACCGGGTCTGACCGGCTTACTGGCCCTTCCTGGCAGCGGTGCCCTAAATTCCCCTGGAGGAGATAGGATTAAAACGCAACGATGAGTTCCTCTAGTTATTCTGTCAGTCACTAGTTCCTGGGTGCCACGTAGAAGAAAAAGATTTCCTCATTCAGATAATATGAGGAAAGCCTAAGTCAAACAAAGTTTTAAAAGGTCTCTTGATTGCAGGACTTTTCAGAGCCTTTAATATGCTAACGTGCATTGTCAAGGTTCGGAAGCTACCATGGGCCCTGTCCCACAGTCCTGGGCTTTTGTACAGGGTTGGTTTACAGAACAGGCTTTAGAAGCTCTGGTCTTGGGAAGTTGTTGAGACCCAACTCGCAGGAGGCCTAGAGATAATGGAACATTAAAGAAACAAAGCTGAATTTTCTCCTCCTGAGAAGACAGGCACCTGTCAGAGTTGACGCCATCGGGACTGGAGCTGGACACCACATAGTAATAACATCTAACTTTAAGTTACATTGATTTTGAGTAAAATGTAAGCATTTTGGTAATTATTTTAACACGAGCTTAAACCCTCATGCCCTAAAGACCAGTTTCCGTAGAAAGCAGCCCTCTCCCTTAGGTCAGCTCCGCAGTCTAGGAGGCCAGAGCCCCACCCCTGAGTCACACACTGGGACGTAAGATCAGTTGGTCAGCTTGACAAAGTAATTTTTTCTCAGCATCAGAACAACATCTCAGTGTGTCAGATAGACTGCATTTCGGAAGGTATTTGGTAATTTCCAATCCATAAAGATTTTTATTTGCCATAAAATGATTTGCTACCTTTAATTCCACCAGCTTGCGCAGGTTGGAAAAAACCCGAAGCAAATGGTTCCTTCTAACAATCACACAAGGAATGGCCTGCTGGGCACAGGGACCACCCCCAGAGGCTCCTTGCAAGTGAACCCCATGGAGGCCATGCGGAGCCTGCCGCTTAAGCTTCCACTGTCCACGAAACAGGCAGCCTGCGACAGGCCGGCAGGACACCAGGCACAGCCATCGAGGCAGGGAGCAGACCACAAGCAAAGAAGCAGACGTCCACCTTGAACTCCGCAGAGTCAAAGCGGGCCCAGTTTCCAGGTGCCATGCAGTGCAGCCTGGAGAGCCAGGGTGACAGGAGAGAGAGAAGGAAAGGATGAAACAGCAGCTATCTGTGTCATATGGATATCGTGACCAAGCTACGAGGCTACTACTTCAGAAACCGTCGCAACGTGATCACTGTACCCCGACAACCAGACTGAGAGTCCACCTTCCCAGGGACATGCGGGCATCACACTGAGCACGCACACAGCAAACAACGCACAACCTACTCTTTAAACATTTCATTTTTTCCTTCAAGCCTGCAATATAATAAGGTGGAGTTATTAAACCACATAGACATGCAAAGCCAAGATCGCATTTGGGGGCATGAACATTCCCATTTGTCAGTTTAAACAAGTAAATAAAAAATCTTTTTATGTTTCCAGCAGGGAAAAAATATAGATATGTGTTACGTTTATAACAAATGGCATAAATATTACATATACAATAAATACAGTCATGCACTGCTTAGCGATGGGGATATGTTTTGAGAAATGCATCGTTAGCTGATTTCATCATTGTTTGAACATCATTGAGTGCACGTCCACAAATCCAGACGGTAGAGCCTACTCCATACTGAGGCTATCTGGTCTCGCCTGTTGCTCCTGGGCTGCAAACCTGTACAGCATGTCACTGCACTGAATACTGTAGGCAGTTGTAACACAGTGGTACGCATTTGTGTATCTAAACATAGAAAATGTATAGTAAAAGTACAGTATTTTTATCGTATGGGACCACCGTTGTGTATGCAGTCCAGCACTGATCAAAACATTGTTACGTGGCACGTGACTGTACTCCCATTTTCAATATATATGCATAGAGTCAACGTAAGTTTAATTCTCTCTACACATATTTAAACATATTTAATTCTAAAGTTTCCAAAGTCTCAAAGTTTTTGTCTTGCACATTTTGAATGCATTCAAATAGTACTATGCACATAATTAATGGGCCCCAAACATCACTGGAATCTAAAGATGTATCCTATCAGCACAGGTGAGGTAGAAATTCCAAATGCAAAATACGCTACATGAAGCATTCGGCGTAGCCCTCGGTCTGCCATGTACGGGGCAGCAACTAAAGACTCGTTGGAGGCATTTCTCAGCACATGAAGGCATTTTTCACCCCCCATTAGAGAAAAGGGATAAATTAGTTGAGGTGAGGTGGGTGGGCAGAATTTCCCACGTGGAGAGAATTGAGGCTGATGGAGGGGGCGATGGGCCCGAAAACACGAGCTGGGCTTAGACCCCTTGAGCTCATGTTCACGGCCAATTGCACAGAGCTCAGCAGCAGGGTAAGCAACGCCACATGCCTTAGGGACAGAACAGCAGAGCCGTGAACTTATGAAGGGCATGGCCTCCAACCTAGAGGTGCTGCAGAGCTACAAGTGGAGCGCACGGCCTGTGCCCGGCCCGCCAACTCAGAGCACCCGTGGTCCGCGCGGCCACAGCGACGCTGCGATGGTCTCGAATGAGCAGGAGAGCGCTCGGCATGAGTAGAACACCTCATCGACCTACCTCCGTTGGCCAGAAGGTTCTCCTGGACCTTCCCCTTTGAGTCTTCCATGACTTCTGCCACGCTCTGGGCCATCCTCTTTATGAGGCTTTGCGGAGAGAAGAAAAAGCCGGTTAGAGTAGGAAGCTGCCCGCGGAATGTTCTCACGCGCTGCTGGCAGGAAAGGCAACTGGTGACAAGCTTTGGGGGAACAGTTTGGCAGTATGTATGAAGAGGCTTAAAATGTTCGCAGCCTTCGAACCAGTAATTCCACTTCTGAGAAACCATCTTAAGGAAACGGGACACACAGAAAAAGCTCTCTGAATAAAGAGATGTTCTCTGCAGCTCTGTTGCTGACAGCAAAAAACTGAAACCACCAGACGACTCAACAGTAGGGAATTGTTTAAGTAAATGATGGTATATCCAGCTGAGGAATTACTAGGCAGCCGTCGGAAATAAAGCTTCAGAGAATTTCTAATACCGTGGAACAAAGCATGTATTATAATGTTACGTGGAAAAAAACAAGATACCAAATTATGCAGACAGGACGGGCACCGGCTGCAACTATGTGGAAATGTTCTTCCTACTCCGCAGATTTTCTACTGTAATCTGATGTTGCTTGCATAATTAGAAAATTAAAATTTTTTATCTCCAGAAAACATACTGAAGGCTTTAGAAAGCATGGGAAAGAAAAGGAAATTGTAGGATTTGGAAGCAAAAGGCCTCAAATTTGCCATGATTCTGCCAGTTACCGAACGTATGTATGATTTTGGCCAAACTGATTTGACTTCTTTGACCCTCAGTTCTCTTACCTATAAAACGCAGACTATACCCATTTTGCAGGATTATTATTAATATTAATATAACTCATCGGGCACCGGTCACCTAGTAGCAGAGAGAGCCTGCTCCAGGCGGCTGATCAACCTGTGACCCGACTGGCAATCACGGCAGACTAGGATCCAAGTCGGAAAGTTCTGATGATCCAGTCTTTGCCGCAGGCTCTCTCTCCACTTTCTCCTGCTCCCAGGAGCGGGTGGCGTTTGCGGGAAGCGTGGCCCCAGGCCACTGAATCCCAGATGGAGTACAAGGTGTTCTGCTGTTGCCGGCACTGGCCACATTGGCCACTCAGAGCGCGAAGCCCAGGGGCCCGGGGCCCAACGCAGAAAACCGTGGCAGGGAGCGCTCCGGAAAGCCCTTGATAAAAGCAAAGAAGTGAGGGAAGGAGGGTCACAACTGCCTTTCCTGACTATCTAAGGAATATGTGTTCATGGTCAAAAACTGAAAACTGCAAGTATAAAGCAGTTAACAAAAAAAGAACCAGACTTCCCCACCCAAGAGGAAATACACTCAGTGTTCTGGCGTGTTTCCAATGGCTCAATGCCTGAATGGATTATGTGAGTTGAAACCTTCTTTTGCTGGCACCCACCATTTAGTGGTGTGTACCAAGTGACAAACATTCTCATTTAATCCTCACAAAAATTCCCAAAAGGTGAGTATTATCCCATTTTACAGATGCAGAAACTGAGGCCCAGAGAAGTAACGTGCCCCTTCCCCAACCATCCAGTCTGTGTGTGGACTCCAAGGGCAAGGCTCTTGGTCATCAGGCCACACTGCCGTCTTTGCAGTCACTCTGGGCTTAAATTTCCACCAATGTGTTGGCCTTTCTTAGAATAGTAGTTAATAGCATCTTACTGATTATAACCTTGGACAAGTTTCCTAACTAATCTCAGTGCCCTCAGCTGTAAAATGGGACAATACTCCTTATCTCACAGAGTTCTGTGGAACTGGGTGCAACGGATATAAAGAATCAGGTCCCTGGGAGTTTGTGAGACACCTTGACATATGCTCTAGGTAACCCAGGTGGACTGTTTTGGGTTCTCTGCCCTCTGAGTCTCACCTGGGTGGATCTGGCAGGAGTCAGAGGGAGGGAGAGACAGCGTGGTTCCCTCCCAGTTTAGTAACCTCAATCCCCTCATCCCTCCAGCCTAGGGGATGTGATGACGTCTCTCCACCAGCCTGGGTTCCTGTGCTGTCCCTTCGGACTCTCCTAAAGCCCACACACAACTTTGCGTCTCTTTATAAGGAGACCCTCCTCAGATTATCCTAATGTGAGTGTGTCTTCTGTTATCTGTTGGGACCCTGATTCAATAAATTCGTTCATTCATTCATTTACTCCAGTCCCACACATTAAGCAACTGCTGTGAGCCAAGTACTGTTCTAGATGTTACGGACAGAACAAAGTCCCCACTCTCATGGAGCTTCTACTTTAATGCTGTCGACAGTTCCTCTTTTATGGTTACAGTGACACATGCAAGGTGCTGTCTCCTATTGTCATATCCCCTACAATACTTTCAATAATTACTTGAAAGAGTAATTATTGCACAGAGCCTGGCTCACAGCAGCTGCCCGGCAGTGTCTGTTGAATGAATAAACGAACGCCGGCACTCCACAGCATCTAAAATTACACCTGTGCTCCCTTCTGTCCTAACGGACCTAAAAACAGAACTCGCTCACCATTGTGTTATGACTCTTTGCTGCTCCCCATCCTGGCTTCTAACAAGTTGTTAACTGCAGCAAGTGCGGCCCTCAGGCATGTACACTGCACCGGAACGTCTCAGAATAACCTGGTCTGACCAAGCTCAACTGCCAGGAGAAGCACTTGCTCCACATGACAAAGCAGCACCGACTCGGCTGTGATCATTAACTACGGTTGTTAGCAAATTGTGGCATTACTGAATGAGAAAATTTTTCTCACTGAAAGGAACCTCAGAGCCTATACGCTGTTCTGAACTAGGTTTTTCACCTTGCAGCTCACTGCGAACACCCTTTCCCGTAAGAACAGAACCTACTGGTCCCTTTCACGTATGGCTAGCATTCCATTGCGTGGCTGTATCATAGCTAACTCTCTACTATTGGACATACGGGCTGTTTCCACTTCGATATGGTACCGTAACACAGGTATTGCGCCCACCTGCGCAGGTACGTGTGAAGAATAAGTTGCTGAAAGAGCAACTACTGGAATGAAGGATATTTACAATTTTAACAAGTCAGCCCCAACCACCCTCCAAATGCAGAGTGAAGGTGCTCTCACACCCGCAGTGTCGGACGGCCCGTTCCCTGACCCTTGCCAGCACAGGTACGACGAATCTTTCTAATCTGCCCATGTGATAGCTGAGAAATTCTGTCTCATTGTTGCTCTCGTTTGCATTCCTTTGATCATCAGTGAAACTGCACGTCTTTCCTCATGTTTACTGACTCTATAAAAGGCTGTTTTTTCTTCTGTGAATGGCATGTTCCATATCTTTTGCTGGCTTTTCTACCAGCCTCTTTGTCTCTTCCAAAATTTTATTTTTTTGATTTGTATGAGCTCTTAGGTGTTTTGGAGAACTCAATGCTTGAGGCAGCGTTTTGAGCTAAGTGACATCCCCATTTTGGAGATGACAAAATCAAGACATAGGGAGCTAAAGGTCACCCTACACAGTAAAGTGAGTGTCAAAGCAGAAAGCCATGTTCTCTGATGCTAGTCGAAAGTAAACTCTGCCACCTTTCTGTAAAATGCCTGACAAAAATTTCTATTAACCCATAAAGGAAGATGAACAAATCACATTTTTTAACTAAAAAGGCAACTGCAAACATTACACAAAGACCTCCAACGCAACGTCGATTACACCGCTCTACAGTGCTTATGTGTCAACGTTCGCCGACCTGTTCACTTAAGATGTGTACATTTCATTGTATATAACCTTACCTTGTTGAAAAATTTTTTTTCTGAAAGCAGACACTACCTTAATCGAGTGACCAAAGCTACCATCACCCACAACCTGAAAGGTCAGCAACGCGCGCCTCCTGCCGCGAAGCGCCCAGGGGAACACGACATCGCCTGTGTGGGGCTCTTGCCACAGGTGCAGAACCGGAGTCTGACCATGAGGAAACTTCGGATGAGTTCAAAGTAAGGAGCGTTTAACAAAATAACTGACCTATACACTTTGAAACACTCAGTGTCGTGAAAGTCAAAAGGTCAATGAGTGAGCGCACCAGTTCAAGTGTGGCTGAAGAGACACGGACCGTTCATTGCAAAGGCAGGACGCCACCTCCATGTTTACCATTGTCTAAGAAAATGCGACGATTCCTTTTGTGGTGATATCCAAGTGAAATCTGTAGATTAAATAACAGTTTTGTATTCCTGATTTTGATCATTGTACGAAGGTTATATAAGAGAATGTCCTTGTTTTTAAGAAATACCCTACCAAGTGTTTAGAAACAAAGGGACATCATACATGCAACTTACTCTCACAGATAGAGTCCAGAAAAACGGAGAGACAGACAAAGAGAGAAAGCAGATGTGGTAAAGGGTATATGGGAATTCTTCTAATAATCTCGCAAATTTTCTGGAACTTTGAAATTAGGTCAAAATAAAAGTTTAAGCATATACTTAAACAAGAATCCTGAAAGAAAAAGGAAAAAACTGGAAAGGAAACCAAACTGTTAACACTGGTTATTATCTTTATGCGTACAAGATGGACAGTTTTGGTTTCTATGCATTTATGTAATGCTACAGCTATGTTTGAATTAGTTAAAACATTACTTTGGCAAGTAGAAAATAAAAATAACTAAATGAAAATAGACTTTGGGAAGCCTAAGCGGGAGGATCACTTGAGGCCAGGAGTTCAAGACCAGCCTGGGTGACATACTGAGACCCTGTCTCTACAAAAACAAACACACAAAAAAACAAAAATTAGCCAGGCATGGTGGCGTGCACCTGTAGTCCCAGCTACTTGGGAGGCTAAGGCAGGAGGATCGCTTAAGCCCGGTAGTTAAAGATTACAGTGAGCTATGATCACACCACTGCACTCTAGCCTGGGTGACAGAGCAAAACCCTGTCTCAAAAATAATAATAATATAGTAAATCATAATAAAATAAATATTAAATAACAAAAATAGACATGGCAGCATTATTCTCAATACCTAAAAGGTAGGAGCAATTGAAGCATCGGTCCACGGATGAATGCACAAACAGGACGTGGCGTGTCCATACAATGGAATATTATTCAGCCTTACAAAGGAAGGAAATTCTCTCACACGCCACAGATATGAGCAAACCTCGAAGACATTATGCTAAGTAAAATAAGCCAGTCACTAAAGGACAAATATCATATGATTTCACTCACAGGAGGTACCTAAAATCGTCACAGTCATAGAGATGGAAAATAGAAAAGTAGTTGTCAGGGGCTGCAGGTGGCGGGGAGGAGGAAATGGGGAGTTATTGTCCGGTAAGTACAGAGTTTCAGTTTTGCAAGATGAAAAGTCTTGAGGATGGAGGGTGGTAGTGATTGTACCGCAGCGTCAATGTACTTAAATGCCACTGAGCTGTATACTTAAAAATGGTTAAAATGATAATAAGTAAGTAAACGGCCATAAGTAAATAAATAATAAAAATATATTTTAAAGTAATAAATAAATTCCCGAAGTTGAGTAAGAGGGGGGTGGGAGGAGTGGGGGCGTCACCCAGGTGTGAGGCAGGGCAGGCAGGGAGCAGAAGCCTTCAGGAGCTGGGCGGGCAGCACCCAGACACCTGCCACCTGCCACCTGCGGGGAGAGGCGCCAGGAGAGAAGCGGCTGCCTGAGGCAGCGCCACACATCTGCCTGGCCAGGTGTACGATGGAACTGCTGTCTTTCCCTTCTGCACACACTATGGGGCACCTCTCAGCCCTGCCGATTTCTGAGCCCTAAGCTCCGAGAGGACACGAGCCCCCCTGCCCTCGGGGAGTAGGATGGCTCAGGAGCTAAGAGCCCAGTGGGAGGGGGCTCCTGAGATCTGTCTCTTCTGCGACCACAAGCCAGGAGGTGCCTCCACATAGTGGCCCCAGGACTCTCCCAGGCCACACAGGGGACTAGAAGGAAGACGCAGGCACCACAGGAATCTGCAGGTGAGAGCCGACCTCCCCATTCCCTTGAGCCCACCAACGCCAGGGCCCAAGCAGAGGCGGGTCTTCCTAAATGGCAGCAGGACACAGTGTCTCCAGGGTTTTGACGCAAGAATAACAATCACTTCCATCTGAAGAGCTTTCCCCAATCCTCAGAAAAGCACTAAGATTTTTATCTGCATCCTTGACAAACAAGGCAAAGTCCTGGAGCCGAGCTGAGGAAGCTGAAGCTCAGAGAGGTGGAAGGGCTGGCCCAGGTTACTTGGCTGGCTGCGGCAGAGTCAGCCTCTAAAGCAAGTCTCCGCCCACCGTGCCAGGTGCTAACAGGCCCCTTCTGGATAACCCCTGGCCCCAGCCCACCCCCCAGGGCCCACGGTCCCCCGGGGGTCCATGCCCTGAGAAACAGGACCCAGAAACCTCCACAGAGTGGGGAGCATGGTCCCCCTCCCCTGGTGACGCAGGAAGCCCCTGAGCACCTCACCCTATCCTTTGTCTCTCTACTTCCTCCTCTGCAAGGACAGTGAAATCTACGAGCCCCGAAGCAAAGGCATTAGGAAAACGTGACTGGAGCGCAATTAAGTGACTTTCTTTTTATAAAAACAAAGGTTCAGTGAGGCTTCTAGGAGGTTCCCCGCTCACTCGAGGACTCTGGCCACAGACACACCATGCTTTAAATTCCAACCTTGCTTCTCAGAAATCGGCGTTTAAACACCGGGCTGATCTACAGTGGGGTTCCCTTGGGCAGACTGTTGTACAACCGCTCAGCAAGATTACTGTCCTCAGGCCACACCGTCCTTCGCCGTCCTCCACCATCCTTAGCTGGGTTTCCTTCAACAGCCTCCACACTCCCTTCCCTGCCGACCCCAGTCTGGCCCCTCCTGTCCATTCCCCCCACGCAGCTGGCGGGATCTCTCTAAAGATACACACCTTAGCATGTCACTGCACTGCTGAAACTGCGCTGACGGTTTCCCAAGAAGTTCAAATATTAACGTTTAAACTCCTTAGCAGAGATTGCAAGGTACCCCCACTCCAGCATCATCTTTTGGCGCCCCACCCCCTCCCTTGCCCTTCCTGCACCAGCCTTCCAGGGCCACCAGGATGCCACTCACCCTTTAGGACAGTCCAACGGCCCCTCCTCTAAGCAAGTCATCCCTAACGAATACATTACAGCATTGGCTACTCAGGACACAAATGTATTGGGTACCAATCAGGAACCAGGCGATGTCACAGGGACATAGCGGTGAACAAAACAGATCTCAGGCCGGGCAAGGTGGCTCACACCTGTAATCCTAGCACTCTGGGGGGCCAAGGAGGGAGGATCACTTGAGGTCAGGAATTCGAGACCAGCCTGAGCAAGAGGGAGACCCCTGTCTCTACTAAAAATAGAAAAATTAGCTGGGCGTGGTGGCGCATGCCTGTAGTTCCAGCTACGCAGGAGGCTGAGGCAGGAGGATCGCCTGAGCCCAGGAGTTTGAGGTTGCTGTGAGCTAGGTAGATGCCATAGCACTCTAGCCCAGGCAACAGAGTGAAACTCTGGAAAAAAAAAAAACAAAAAAAACAGGTTTCAGTTGTGCCCTCACAGGGCTTACATCTGAAACCTCCCTCCACCACGTCAGTTACGGCACTGTGCCAATATGCTGGTCTCCTCTCCTGGGTGCTCCCCTAAACAATAAGCTCCCTGAAGATTTATTCACGGTGCTGTCCCTGACTCCTGCAACCATCCAGCAGCTCCTGAAAAGACACAGGTGTGCAGCAGTGCCCGGCGGCTAAACAGACACCTGAGATGTAGGAGCAGGGCATTGGTCCAATGTTACTCAGGCCACCACGGTCCCCAGACATCTTGGCTTCAATCTCCTGTCACCAGCATTGAGATTGTCTCTTTATCCATCTACCTCATCTCCCAGAATGTGAACCTTTCACAAAATCTCATAGTATTCAGTACAGCTGCAACACCAAGCTTAGCCGATGGCAAGGGGGCCCGGCCTGGAATCTCAGGCATGATCTGCTTTCCCCCGAAGGCATGTCCAGCCCATAGGACAAGGAATCAACCCAAAGGTTTAAGGGGACGTTTGTACTCACACTTTGGGTACCCACGACCCAGCTACCTTGAAGCGTAGGTGTTTACTCAAGAAAAATGAAAACGTATGTCGGGCCAGACGTGGTGGCTCACGCCTGCAATCCTAGCACTCTGGGAGGCCAAGGAGGGAGGATCACTTGAGGTCAGGAGTTCAAGATCAGCCTCAGAAGAGCAAGACCCCATCTCTACTAAAAATAGAAAAAAATTAGCTGGGCAACTAAAATAGAAAAAAATTAGCCGGGTGTGGTGGTGCACACCTGTAGTTCCAGCTATTCGGGAGGCTGAGGCAGGAGGATTGCTTGAGCCCAGGAGTTTGAGGTTGATGTGAGCTAGGCTAACACCATAGCACTCTAGCCTGGGCAACAGAGTGAGACTCTGTCTCAAAAAAAAAGAAAACGTATGTCAATACAAAGATCATGAACGTTCATGACAGCTTTATTCATAATAAACAAGAACTAGAGACCATCTAAATGCCTCCCAACAGGTGAATGGGTAAAAAATTGTGGCTTACCCATAAAATGGAATCTCACTCAGCAGTAAAGTAGTAACTATTAATATGCACGCAACATAGACAATGCTCAAAATGATGCTGAGGGGGAAAACCCAGACCGAAAGAAGTGCACACTATGTCATTCCATTTTTGTAAAAGGTCTTTTAAAAATGCAAATGATCTGCTAGTGACAGAAGGCAGATCAGTTCTGATCAGGGCATGGGGAGAAATTGATGACGAGGGGCATGAGGATGCTTTTGGGGTGGTGGATTTGTTCATTATCTTGCCTGTGGTGATAACTTCACATACACATCAAAACTCATCAAATCATACACTATAAAATTTGTCATTCATTTTACATCATTTATGTCTCAATAAAGCCATTGTTTTAAAAAAACCAACGCTGAAGTAGCATTGGTTACCTACCAGGTTCACAGAAAGCCAAACGTCTGACAATACCCTCTGTTAGAAAGGTTATAGGGGAACATGGGCTCTCGCTCCTTCACTGCTCGTGGACGTGCAAAGTGGCCATCCCACGGGGACAGAATCTGGCAACATGTACCCAAAAGACAAAAGCATAGGACCCTTGGACCCAGAAATTTGCTTCTGAGAATTTACCCTGCAGATATACCTGTATGTGTCTACACACAAAGTAATAATGTATGTGCAAGATTATCTATTACAGCTCTGCTGGTAACAGCCTCCTTCCTCACAAAAGCAAATAACCCAAGTGTCTATCTCTAGGAGTTAATAAACTAGTCATTAACTGTGGTTAATAAGTGATGCTCCCTCCACATGGTGGGATGGTAGATAGTTTAAAAAGCAAGAAAGCTCTCTGTGTACTGAGGGGAAAAATCTCCTGGGTATATATTCTTAAAATTTATTTGTTTGTCTATTTATTTATTTATTAGAGACAGGGTCTCACTCTGTTGCCCAGGCTGCAGTGCAGTGGTGCAATCATAACTTCAAACTCTTGGGCTCAAGTGATCCTCCCACCTCTCACCTCAGCCTCCTGAGTGGCCAGGACGATAAATGAGAGCTACCATGCCCAGCTAACTT